CCCCTCACGATCTGGTGTGTGGGGATTTTGGGGAAATTGAGGCCCACCCGTCTTAGAGTTGCTAAGGTTGAAAAACAGTCTTAAACTAAATATGTTTACCATCCTTCCATGTACATTTAACACACACTGCACCCCCCCAAAAAAACCAAACCCAGAATTCCCATGACAGTAATTTAGATTTGAATTGTATTATCTATAAACCACATTCAACACAGCTAGAGAAAAGAAAGACCCTATTCACCATTGTCTATAAATCTAAACATGTAGTAAAGACCCTATCATCAGCAGTCATACCAACTTTTGATTTTGCAGACCTGTAATTGAAAACTAAGATATAATTATAAATTACACTAAGTTCAAGTGTAGTATTCACACATTTCAAATCCTATGTTATACTCTGATATCAAGGTCACTTCTACTGTATAAAACAGAAAAAGCCAACAAAACATGTCTTGTTTATTATGAAAATAAAGTTTAGGGTCTCATAAATGTAATCTTTTTCCCAGTAATATATCAACACATTTGCAAAAACTGTTATTTGTAATCTAGACAACGGCTTGGGTGCAAAAATGCTTGAGCGGAATTTCCCTTTTGCAACAGGACATTCCTGCTAAAAGCTGGAATGTGCAATGGGATGTTTGTAGCTTAGAAGCTACAGCAGAAAGAAGTGATAGGCAGACACGGGGAGACAACTTGGATATTGCACAAGTCCACACTTCTTTCATCCTTGCACAATCCCAATGATTGTCTTGGGAAGTTAATAGGAAAAGTGAGAGAGAAAGAAAAGCCAGTTACCTAAAAAGATTTCAAGAACATCATTCCAAATGTCTAATTTACTGGAAATTCCTCCAGACAACCATATTTTAATTTCATGTTTGAAATACAGAGAATTAAACTGATTAGTGTATGGTGTCTAGCAGTTGCACACGCACACATACACACACTTATTTCAGAAATGAAAATACACTAAATGCTGGTAGAAATGTGATATCTTCGAATCATTTAAGTTATTATTGACAGTAACTGTCTTCACTCTAATTCCAAGTTTGTGTAATACTGCCTCAGGAAATGGAGTGCTTCCATTCAGAGTTCCACGTATGCTCAAAAATGTGCACAGATTTGCTTATGGCAGGATTCAAAAGGAAGAAATCAGTTGCTGAGAAGTTTAGCTATGGACTGCATTTATGTCCTGAAATTACTGCAGGAGCACATTTATGAGACGGTAATTCCATTATGGGCACTACAACATCTGTGTCTATAAGTAGGTATTTGACCATTGTGACAGAATATTTAAAAACTGATCATTAGATTGTTAATTAGCACCAAAAAATGAAAAAAGCTAACAACAATGAAAAAAGAGACAAAATTTCTAAAAAGTCAAAAATATATTTTATGCAGCTAATCTTCAGCTTTACAAACCTTAGTCATGGACAATCTATAAAAGACAACAAATTTTATTCTAGTTTGTAAAAAGATCATAACCAAACTACTAAAAATCAGTCAAAGCTGCTTAGTGTAACACTTTATAGAATGACTGACTTTGCAGATCAAGCTTGCCAGAAATGAAGAGAACTTTGTATAATAGGAACACTAAAGCACTGGCCATTCTATTAGTAGATTATTTTATAAAGAAATGGCCTATTGTTACATGGTTTTAGGAAGATGAAAGAGTCAGTGGAATTAAAAGGTTCTGTTGAGGTATGTTCCACTGGAATTGAATGAAGAGAACAATTATTCTTTCCTCTATGGCTCTTTTATGTCATTCCTCAATATAGTACCCAGGGCGGCACTGTGCTTATCAACATGTCTTGCCATCTGCCAAATTTACTCCCCCAATTTTCTTATAAAGTCTAAAAAAAAAAAAAAGGAAGCTAGCATGCTATAAGAATCAGGATCAACCTATATTTCCAACAATGACTCTGGGCCCCACATTAGGGACAGGCCTGAAAAATAAAGTCAGAACAACTAAGATTTACTGTAAGGAAATGTACTTTTTTCAGTTTTTATACGTTGCTACAAAACAGTTGTTAGGTTTATTATCTCCAACTTCGAAGTAATGTGGAAAATCAATATTTTTATCTGTTAACTACATTTTTTTTTACTTTTTTTAGTGGAGGGATATACTTATACATTTGTTTTAAACAGTTGGTTATTTCATTTGTGATGAACCATCTCTACATTTTACAATTTTACTCGTTTATATCATAAATGTATATTTGTAAAAATGTAAAATAGTATCACTGTTTGATAAAGTGTAGTGGTCCTTGTGGAGTCTCTTTCTATGCTATAGTGCTGTATAATTTATACAGCATTGTTTATTTAAAAGTACCCACTCTCACCTTTTTCACTAAAAAAAAAAAGCAGTCAAATTATTAAGAGGATATGAGCCATTGTGAGTATGTATATCAAGGGCTTCAGGAGACAACTTGTCTCTCATTTTTTTTCTGATGACAGAATCCTTTGCAACATGATTTTCTGCAAATTTTTGGAAGGGAAAAAAGAAGAAAGTATTTTAAGCCATGGATAGACTTAGAAAAGTTTTTTAAAATCCCCAAGGAGGGGTGCAGAAGGAGTGAAATATCTCTCCTCCTCCTAATCTTTAATTATATTATGTGTGATCTATCAGATTCTACCCTCCCTACCCTTTCACTTTTTTTAAAAGTCTCACGGCAGCCTTCCTTATATCAGTATGTCAGTAAAGTTTGGCTTAATCACATGTTCCAATGGCCTACAGTAAAATAAACAATAAACTATCGTTTAAACTAGACTGAAATACAATCTTTTAGGCAAATGTCACAAATCTACATTAGTTGCATCCCAGGGCTTCAACACATATTCATGTCACAATTTTGACTTCCCTCCATCCTTTGAAATATCATCGTCTGTACTATTTGTTTTTTTTTTAGATTTTAAAAGCAGCATGCCATGCATAGAAATTTATTATTTAAAATGTAGTAGGTGTAACTAGATGTTCAAGGTTAGTTACTTTGGAACAGGATTCATAGTGCTGGACTTTCAAATTATCTTCGTTATGGAAATATTATAGCATATGCTGTTGTGTGAACTATTATTCATGAGAAAATGGAAAGCGCTAGAATTGTGGATTTAACTATGGTATTTTGCAAGTTGATTCACTAAAATGCCACTAGTGAATAACTGAGATACATTTTTTTTAATGGATGAAAGTATTTCAAGTATGATTCATACCTTAAAAATCTATTACGCAGATTAGCATCAAGTATCAGAAATCTATAAAAATGAACTAAAAATTCATTCTTCACCCATTCCAAAGCACAGGTAAGTTTGTTCAGTCATACTTTCTTGGCATAAATATCCAGAAATATATTAACAATTACAAATACTTTTAACAAACTTCATGTATTTCTAAAACAATATAGATCTAGCTACATTATCTTATTTTCTAGAAAAAGGAAACAAAATATTAATACTGCAACTGAACAAGGATCTCTCAGATTACAAAATTAACTCTTAAATCTAGGCTATTTAGGGGCTAAAATAATTCATATTGTTCAGAATATATTGCAGTGAACAGAAAAATAATTTATTGCATGAACAGTACAGAGCCTACACAGACTTTAAGAGCTAAGATTTATAAAATGATTAATTCTATCAACCATATCATTAATTCTATCAACTCATAAAGATGAGTCTGAGCTTCAAGCGTGCAAACAGGTCATCCTTTACCACAAGTTATTTCTTCAGGAGGTAATTTTTTTGGCAGATACTCATTTGTTCACAGGCACTAGAGATCAGAAATGGTGATCAAAAGCTTAAGGATACATCCAGCATTTCTGAATAGAGGTATTTATAAATTAATACGTTTTTGAGGTGTGTAGCCTGCCGGCAAAGTAATATTCAAAAAATCTAGCAAATTCAAAAATCAAGGTTGCCCACTATATCCATGTTTAATGCACAATTCCAAGAGCAACTCTGCACATACTGAAGGGTTGGGGCATGCCCTCCTTTCAACTGCAGCCCTCCAGGCCCTTCTGAAATTTTTGAAACTCTGCTCAGTTTCTAATGTTTTTATAATACAGCAGTTACAGGAGAAAGTTGCTGCTCAGGAACCAGAAGCCAAAAAAAGCCTCCCTTTGAATATATGGACCTAGGCATGTGAATTTTGAATACGGTCCCTCCTCTTTTCTAATTAGCCTTTCCAACAATTTTCATTATGGTTTAATTCTCCAACCTGCACATGTAACAATTCAAAGCAAAAAGTTAATGCTGGCACAGGGTTATTCTTAAACAGTTCTTATTCTGTAATCTACAAATTGGTTTTTGATCCTAAAGACATATAGAAATCAATTTGAATCTTTATGAAAAAGCATTTTCTCCAAGGCCAATTCAGCTGTGGTACCAGGAAATTTAATATAGCTGCTTTTATTGACTCCTGAAGACTGCCTGGACTTTATTAAAAAGTAGTGATGTTTTAATTTTAACATTTCCTTAGACTATGTTACTGAAATACTTAGCTTGCAGGGCAGTCCTACACACAGTTGCATGTTTATCTGAAGTAAATTTCAAAGCACTCAAATGGGCTTACTTGTGAGTAGCTCAGTTGCAATTACACTTCTACTTACTGGTTTTCAATCAATGCTGTAAATCCAAATAAAAAGCAAAAAGAGATGTAGACCCAAAATAGGAAAAAAGCAAAAAGTTTCAGATAAAAGTGTAAAAGTGCCCTCAATATACAATCTAAAACTATAAGTTACTGATTCTTGGGCAGATACAAAAATATGTAAAAAAGATAATAAAAGTACTATGCATCCTAAGTATGTACAATTCACACAGCATGTAAAATAGTGTACGTTCACTAAGAATATGATTGGAGATCACTCAACTGCACTTCACATATACAGTAGCAGACCACGTGACAATCAACAGCTATGATTTTCTAGTAATCTGTAAATCAATGATAGATCTTCCAGAAATATCTTACAGATCTAAACTGTATTATAGAGCTCTTTAGCTTCTAATACTGAGTCTGAATAGCCATAAATTATGAGCCATTGTACAATAAGTTACCACCACTTTAATAAACATTAACTACTATCTCTCTCTCTCTCTCTCACACACACACACACAGAAACACCACATGTACTGCAAAATAGATAAAAGTTATACAGTCAGGTAATTCTGCAGCAAACAAAGCCTTTCTTAAGACCACCATGACCTTTGACAAAATAAAGCTCTCATCAGCATCTGATCGGAAGGACAAGCTTCCAAGGAGATGCCAGTGTATGACTTTGAAGGGAACTTTTGTGTCCTTAGCTACTGCTTGAGAATGAAATATTTGGCAAGAACCATTTCCATTGCTGCAGCACTGACAAGAGACAAAAGATCACTGCCAAAGTTCAATTTAGCATACGGCTATAAGAGGCATAGAAATGCCTTCCAAGGTCAGCCTTCATTGAACGAGGGCTGAAAATAGATTGCATTTCTTTGCTCTCTGCCAGCTGTTGGCAAAAAGCCCAGTACAGCAATAAAAAAGAAACTCTTTGCAGATGTTGTAAGTCATCCAGTAAGTGGGTCACAGACAGAGTACACTGACAGCTCAGTTTAGTGCCATATAATTGGTTGAAAATTAGATATCAGAGTACTTATACAAGAGACTTACCCAAGAACAGCAAGGACATTTTAATATCCTATTAAAATTATGTCTGGATACTGAGGCCCTAGAACTGGCTTGAGCTTAGAGTATTCCATTTAAAGATGCTAATGATAACACATGTAACGATTCACACACTTTAAGGCACTTTAGGTAGGAATTATAATGGATAAAGGTAGAGGAAAATATGTATCGTAACTTGGTTTAAAGGAAGGCTATCTTTCTAGGTAGCAACAGGAAGAGGAAATGAGCCATTATGTGAAAGAGGTGCTAAGATACAGGGCAACTGATGCACCGGAACTTCTATCTATCTATCTATCTATCTATCTATCTATCTATCTATCTATCTATCTGTAAACTATTGTACTTGGATTTGATTGGCTACTTTTATACAATTGAACACTAATTTTTAAGCTGATGGTGATATGCAAAAGCAGCAAAAATTTGCCTCCAGATATAATGCCTCATACATTTTATTTAAAGAACCAGAATATGTTGCTGCTTTTTAAATGGTTATACATAATATTAACATAGTCCTGACTAAAGACAGGTCCTTTAAAACTTCTCTGTACAGAAATAAATATTGATTCTTTGATGCCTAAGTTTTATCAATCCAAATATTATTGAAACATTTTGGCGATCAATTAGAAGTGCACAGCTCTACACTATGATGAGTCCTGATGGACCTAAGAGATGCTGAATGACATTAGCAAAATGTTACTCTAATGAAATACTTCAAGGATCCATTTTTAAAACCCTTGTATGTAGTTATGGGGAGTTTTCCTGAATTGTCTTGTCTGGGGCAGTTTTTAAGCAGATGAGGAAAAAATGAAGCCAAATCCACGAAAAACAGATGTAATGGTGGATAAACTTGTATGTCTGTCTGTCTGTCGGTCGGCAATCTGGTCTTTCCAAATGCAGGAGATTAAAGTCTCCTGATCCCAACCAACATGATTATTAGGAATTATGAGAATTCTCCAGTCACATATTGAGAAAGAAACATGTCAGAAAACTGATTGTTTGCATGACGCAGGGTTTCATTGCCCTTGTATAAAATGGCTTCTATGCAGAAAACATTCTACGAACATTCCATTTCTACTGTAGCTGGATGTCTCATACTTCAGCTCTTGAATGCAAACAATTATGCAAAAGGTTTTGAAGGTATGCAGTTTTTGAAAATACATATTGGTATCTTATTTATTCCAACAGTAATACTGACAAAATAAATATGTGAGGGGTTATTCAAAATTACTTCCTATGTTTGTCCATAATGGCAGACTTTCCTCTGTATAGCAATATTCACCTGAGTATCTGCCCTAATTTCAGATTTTAACAGTACAGACAACATACAACCTGCTTGCATACTTACTAAATTATGTTATATTGAGTACACTTTTATGTACTGCTTTTAGTTGTCTCACAAATTTGCAACCTCAGATATATCTTTGGATTTATCACTAACAATCTTGCCACATCAGCATTTTAGCCTGGTACAGACTCAAAGGAAGAACTATGACAGCTCCCAATAATTGGGTAAGAACTTATAATCGCTCTTATTAGCGATTCAGTTTTTCTGACTGTTTGTTTACACTCATTTGTTGACTGAAGTAAGAACATAGAAGCATATGGGACATATAAACTCACATTTTAAAATAAATAAGTAAAAGCCAATTGCTTCAGTACCAAGGAACTGAAGCAACCATGACTACCCCCAATGTCAAGGACAATGTGCTTACTGAGTAACACATTTCTACAACTATTTCTTTTAAAAATCAGTAAGTACAAAATACTGTTTCCTTATCACGAATTAACACTTTGCAAACCTAATGCCTTTCTATTTTCTGCTACTGATAGAAGATGCTGCTTATATTTTCCTATATTATCTATACTTCCATAGCTACTGCTGTCTTGGCCAGCTAAAGCTGTTACACAATGCTGCATAGTGAATGTAAAAAAAGAGGAATTATTACAAAGTATGGCATTAGGTATAAATAAACTGGTGCAAAAACTACAGCAGCAACAGAGCAAAGAAGGGGGAAATATGCTGCAATCTTCAACAATTTACTGTAGGGAGAGAGAAAAAGAGAATAAAAGTCTGTTATTACTCAAGCAATAAGACAGATGAGTACCTTTCTTAGTCTTGGGTCCTCCATCTGTATTTGATTTCAATTCCCACAATTCCCAAGCCAATATGGTTATGCTGACTGGGGATACTGGAATTATAAGTACAATTTATCGGAGGGTATCAGGTTGGAAAGGCTGACATAGCAAATAAGCAGCAGATATTCTTGAAGCAATACTATGGAGTAATGTTCAAAGAATAGTTACTTTGCAGAAAGACAGCCTAGAACCTGCTAAGGTGGGAAACTGGAATGGCATCCCCTCAGCTTGTAGGAGAACCACCTACCCCATGCCTGGTATTTAAAAGAAAAAGATGTATAAAGCTCTATATTGACTTCCACCTCCACCAGTTTATAAGGCAATAATTCATATAGCTTCTTTATCTTTTGTAGTAACTACTACATGGGAGTTGTTAGCTAGCAGAATTCCAACATGATCAAAAGTGATCTGAAAAATTCAGCTTAGGAGTGTGTAGGAAACAGGAAAAGATGAGTTTGGAACAAGATGAAAATAATCAAATGTCATCTCCACCCTTTCATTGCAGAGAGCTTTTGTTGCATCTAAAGCTGTTCTGACAGCTAAAAGATTCTTCTGTTGCTTTGGTCCAACTCCTAAATACTATAGCACAGAGTAAGAAAAACAATTTGACATACAAGAGTGTTCCATACAGTATAATTTAAAACAAAGATAATTAAAGTACCTTGATTTAATTTTTGCAGTACTTGTATTCATGAGTACCCCCAAAATGACTATCAGAATAACCGCAACAGATCTACATGGATCAGGATCAAGTCTGATACGGTATCTGATTAAAAAAGAGAGAAAACACAAAGGACTATTGTAATTAGTGCTACTCACATGCAAAATTATTTTTCCAGTAGCAACAACAAAATACACTAAATGAACTAAAATAGGATATTGAAAATAAAACAGTATCTAATTTCACAAGCAGAAAAACAGGGAAAACAATACCATGTCATTTGATGGCCCAAATGCAACTTTTTCTCTCAATTTAAAGCTGTTTTAACAATTACAGAATTGAGTTATTGTGAACTACCTCACATTTCAGGGATAGAAAAAAACAATCACGTCAACTTTAAGATAATGCAGAAACACCTCTAACGGATTTCTCATCTGATTAAACTGTTTGGTTTTGTACAAATGATTTCAACATAGATGCCTAGTATCCTAAAGATCTAACACATTTGTGGTTTTAAATCTTCTTGCAGCCATTTTCTGTTTTAATTTTTAAATGCTTTTTTCTCTAATTCTCCAATCACTAAGGCCCTGGCACTATGGCTGCTTCTCACATTCATAAGTAATCTGGACTGATATCATCTACACACCTGAATCCTTCATGATGTCTTCTAATGGTACATATATTAATTAGCTTATAATTTTTAAATCAATAGCTTATAGGACCAACTCATAATGGATTTTTTAAAAATAAAACCTGTAAATTTGGAATGATTACCTGACATCTTTTAGCCAATACATTAAAGATGGACAACTAAGAAGCACAATCCATGTGAGTAAGTTGATGACTGTGATGTGCATTTTAAGACTATCTATAATGCTGTCAGTAGTCATGGTGGTGCTATGTGAGTTTCTTGCTTCTGAAGGGCAATCCTCTGATCTGTAGGTCTCCCCCGCTTCATTTTTTGAATCATCTGAACTAGGTTCTGGGTCCTTTGGGGACTATAAAAATATAAAAATATTTCATAGGTTTTTCAGCATTAGTTAATAAAATGTATAAAGAGGAAATTGAAATATCCACAAAATAATTCAATGATAGCATGGCCAACAATATACAAACATAATTCAGTCATTTAAATTCATGGGATTATATATTATTGTTTTATTTTAGATCAGTCTCCTTCCTGATGGAGGACAAAGACTGTTTTAAATGTTCTCCCCATCCTGCTTAGTTCTGCAACTTAGCACACATTCTAGAGCAAAATTTTGCAGGAGATACTGAAAATAAATGAATAAAAATATAAATAAATAGCTCTTTGTATCTTTTGACACACTATCTTGCCCTGAACAGAGCAGAAGTAAATTAAACTTGATATGAAGAACAGGAAAAAGGAAAGTGAAGAGAGACAAGTGCAAACCCAATAATATCTCTGTTTTCACTGAACAACTCAGTGAACCATCATCACTGGGTCTTTCATCATTTCTCCTTCTCTAATCACTTTCTTTACGTATTGTGCCTTTTAGATTGTAATCCTAAGACTGAGAATTGTAATTATTGTTTATTCTGTAAGATATTCTTAGAAGAATGGAGTATAAACTCTGAAAAAATAAAACACAAAGAGCTGGAGAGCTAACAGTGATATAAGCAATAGTCCTTATAAGAGCATATTTTTGCCCCCCTTCATCTCATGATGTTCTAGTTGCTACAAATGCCCAGGTTTCCTCTAATGATGTTACCTTGATGTCGACACTATCACTATATTTTTATGAAGAGTTATCCAGGCACTGGAAAGACCAAAATACAAAATACAGCAACAAGAAATCTATTTCTTCTTAAAAAGAAGCTATAAGATTGGAGATACAAGACTATAGTGGCAAACTGAACCTGATGTAATAAAGAGATTTTTCCCCCTTTCACCATTAAAAAAAAATAGCAAATCCCCATGGAACAATGTGAACAAGTCCAGGGTTGTAGTAATGATATTCTGCAAGCAGTAGGCAAAAACAGGAACTCTGTATGCCTTAACACCTATCTGTTCTTAAGGCAACAACAAAAAGCATACAATAAACAGACTTACCACATTAAGTTCAGATCTTAAATTTGAATGGAAATTAACAACCTGTAACAACAAGCATACATTTTAGTTCTGCCCCAACATCATATGCCTATGTTCACAGCTTCCTGAAGTTAATGGTGTACTTTATGATTCTGTACTTCATTGTTCTACACGTTACTCTAAATATTTCTTAAGCACTTATCTGGCATCTTTGTGGTTTTTTTACATTGCTTGAGCACTTTACTTTCTTACCACATTACTGAATTCTTATATATTGCCTTCATACTTGGAACTTCTTTGGTATTTTACTGCTATATCATTTACAATCCATTTCTTAAAATATTTCAGTCTGCTTGTTTCCTTGGGTAGGAATATTAATGAGCATGGAGTGTGGGCCTATTTCAGAGGCAAAGGGAGGAATGCTGGCCATTGTATAACCTAGTCAAGAATTACCCAAGAGCTGTCCCTTCTTCTGACTCTTCTAGGTTGATTACCAGCAGTGTAATTTGGGCAAAGCAGTAGATTTTTACACACAGGTTGTACACAGACTCACATAAGGGTAGGGTTGATGATCTAAAGGCAGAACTAGCAAAAGCCTACTTTGTCCTCCATGCTTAGCATAAACTAGTAGGAAACTATCTAGCCAACCTGTAATCTAAAAATGTCATATTATATTACATAACTTTTATTGTTTAAATACCTTGAAGATATAATGAAAATAAGTCATCATTATAGCCAGTGCTCCACAGGTGGTCCAGCTAAGAAAAAACATCGAAACCGCAATACAAAACCTTAATCGGGTAATCAGACTGTTGTTAGATGGAGGTCCACTGGGTCTAACAAGTACAAAATAAACACATTCATGCAATAAAATATTAATTATATTACAAAGCAAAATGGCAGAGTTTAAACTTCACACCCAACTGTGGTTTATGGTAAGTACTGTTATGACTCAAGCTATGGACTGACTTTTCACAGCTCTAACATCCAAATGTTGGTTGAAAGCTGCTTGGTTGTTTTCCATCCTTTTATTACTCAATATTAAAGTGAGATGCAGTATTCTCAGAAGAAGTAATCATTCTAATTGATCTGCTATTTAATCACAACATTGGCTTTGCCTAATGAGATAAGCCAGCTAAGTTCCTTAATCATAGTTTGCCATGATGCCTGAATTTTGTAGGGTCACAGGTTATATATATAGATAGTCCTCACTATCTGACCACAATAGGGACCAGAATTTAGGTTGCTAACCGATTTGGTCGTTAAGCAAATCAGAGCTGATTTTATGACCTTAACGGTTGTTAAGTGAATCATGTGGTCAATAAGCAAATCCAGCTTCCCCAATGAATGTTTTTTGCCAGAATTTGCTTAACAACCACATGATTCACTTAATGACTGCAGTGATTCATTTAATGACCATCGTAAAAAGACTGCAAATCACAATCATGTGACCACGGGGGTCATAAAGCACTGTTCCCAAGGCCACTGTAACTCCAAACCATCATTAAATGAATGGTCATTAAGCAAGGACTACATGAAATGTGCTTTTTTCTTACAATTAGCTCTTCCTTATTTTGTGGCACAATTTACCATTATATACTTTTTCCACTTCATATGTAATATCAAACTATGATTTGTAACAATACACAGAGGGAAATAAGAGTGCACAAAAACAAGATACAAATCAATGGCTGGCTATTTTACTTAGTATAAAACTACTGTTTCATAGTACCATTTAATTAAACTACAAGTCTGTATATAGCAAGAGTAGGCAGGCTGATACCCTCAGATACTCTGGACTTCAACTCCCCAAATCTCTTGGCAGCAGCCTTGGTAGTCTACACTGATGGGAGTGAAATCTAAAACATATAGAGGCTACTATGTTTCCTACCCTTAGACTGTGGTAGAAGGGTGGGAGGATTTTATCAGTTACTTTATACATCAGAATATGTTACTCATAATACATAGTTTCATAGTTCTTCCAAAACAGTTTAAAATTTAACACGTCTGTTTATGAATACATTCTGTGTATACTGTATGCTGGCTTGTTCAAAACACTATTTCTGAATACAGAAATACTTTTCAGGAAGATCAATAACTTTCTTTAGTAACAAAAAGATGTTAAACACTTCATTTAAATTTAAGGAAGTTGCAACTGGCTTTTCAATTACATAAAATTCCCAACAGGGCCCATAGTATCTTGGAATTCTAAATAGTACAACTCAGCTAGATTATTTGAGGGGATTTTTTCTGTAAACAATTGCTTCTCAATCAAATACCAAGGAAGAAATCAAGTCAGGCATTTTCCTTGGGTTGAAGCATCAGAGCAGGACAACATTTGTATGTCTGGAGTCCCCTCCCACATGTCAAAAGTTAAAAGTGACAAGCTACCAGAGATTCAGAATTAACTACTTATCCTTTCTCCTTTTTGCCCACGTCCAATTAGAGAATTCAAAAGTTTGCACATAATTTTGCTATCTTTTCATTGGCGTAGCAAAAGATTATTGGCCTAATTCTAATACAAATTTTAGGCTGCTAAGTCATTTAGAAAAGAAGACCAATTTCTTTTTGTTTTTGTATCTCCAATGTAGAGAGCGAGACCTTGTCAGAGAAGGGGAGAGATTTTCCTTCCTAACTATTCTTGTTCTTTTCTTAAAAGGTAAAGACACCTTCAAGTTCTATTCTTGGTAAACATTTAGACACATCTATGTAGTTTTCTTTGCAGCAATACTTTCTTCTGGGATTTTTTTTTTTTTAGTGTGACTTTGGATATTAACTTCAGTCTTTCCATTCTCTGAAAAGATGACAAATCCTCTTACAGCAAATATGAACCATTTCCTGTATCCCGGATTGGTGGGCTTATTTTATCTATTAAGTGCAAGGGATGCCTGTAGAACATGGAAAAGTAGTCAGAAATGTCCTTGAAACCTTTGTTCTGCATTCAACAACAATTGGCTTCATGTGTCTTTTAAGTGATACAATGGCTTGCAGGTAATTATAGGTTCAAAGAGTGCTTCTTATGCAGCACTATGGCTTAGGGGCTATACCACAAACCTTGATTTACAGGTGCTTCAGTTTTAAGATGAATTAAGAAATGTCAATTCAGAAAATATTCTTGTGTTCTTGTACAAGGCAGAGAGAGTATACTTCTCAGCAAGTTTGCCAAATGTTGTTTCCAGTAATACCGCTAAACATTTTGCATTTATTTATTTATTTATTTATTTATTTATTGTTTTTACCTTGTCAAAACTAAGTGCAATGAAGATAAGAGCCTTATAGACCAATCAAGAAGTATGCCACCCCAATAGGCTATGCCAGTCCCAAACATAAAGAGAGTTAGGGATACTAAAGGAAACCACAAGTCCTGGTTGTTCATTGTGACACCATCCAGCTCTGAATTTCTGATTCCTTTAAACCAGTTAAGTCTAGAAAAAATAGACAGCATGACAGTTATTTGTTTTGAATACCTGCATTTCCAAAAACTAGTGATGATTAATCTAATTTTAGCTGCAAAACTTATGTTTTTAATATATATGCTATAAAATTAGTTACAAGGATACAAATATTTGAGAATTCTGTAACTGCAGAAAAATATATTAAAAAGAAACATACCCCAACAAGAATTTAATCATATACGCTAAGGGTTCTACTTTATAGGGCTTAGCTGCTTTAGTAAGAGCAGGAACAAAGTCTGAACAGTGACCTAGAACAAAAGAAAAAATATCTGAAACCACATGTTCACAAATTAAATGATAATATTCAGCTTTTTAGAATACACTTGAATATGCTTAAAAGTTATACCACTGAAGTCAATTATTTCTCAGACTATTCCTTTACTTGAGCACAAACAGAAAAAAAATAAAACCCAGATAAAACTATATTTAATTTAAAATAATGTTTAGTTCCATGTGTACATTTCCATGTCCAATTTACATGGAAACAACATAACAAATCCAACTTAGTCTTTAGAAATGTTATGCTTTTCAAAAGCTTTATTCCTATACAGGTAGTCCTCGAGTTATGACCATTCGTTCAGTGACCGTTATGCTGGCACTGAACAAATAGTACTTAAAGCACAGTCCCTGAAGTTATGGCTGTTGCAGTGCCTCCGCAGTCATGGGATCAAAATTTGGATGCTTGGGAGCCCACATGCATTTACAATTGCATGGACGCTTCAACTTCCCCTGTCTCCCCCCATCTCTGCCCTTTTGGCCCCCTGTACTCCAATGCTCCGCCGCCCTGCACTCCGCCCCCCAGCTGACCTTCACCATCTTCTTGCTCCCACTGCTGACCACACACACCCAGCCTGGCCCTTTGTGAGGCAACTGCTGGCCACGTGAGGCTTTCTTCCTGAGGTCGCACATGGTGTTTCCTTGCAAGGCCTGGGGAAGAAGGCCTCATGCAGCCAGTAGTTGCCTGTGAAGGGCCAGGCCAGGCGTGCTTGGTGCTGTGGTGGCTGCAGCTTTGCACTGCAATGCTGGGCCAGGCTGGGGCTTCTCAGGATGTCTGTGGCTTTGTGCTGCGGCTCAGGGGCTTCTTGCAGCCCCAGAGCTGCAGTGCGCCAAGAACCCCCAGAACCACACAATTCTGAGGCTGCTTGCCGCCCCACAAGGCGGGGTGCAGGGCAGCCAAAAAGATGGGGGGGGACAGGTGGTTTGGGAGAGTTGAAGGGGAGATAGTACCTTACCTTGGAAAAACTGAGGCTCAGGGCTGGGAGGGACCAAGCCAGGAATGGCTTGAATCGGGGTGTGTCCTCAGCTAACAACCGGTGGGATTCAGTTAATGAAAGCAACAGGGAGTGCTGGGATCGCTGTCGCTAAGTGATACGGTCACTGACATCAAGTTTTACAACCACATTGCTTAGCAACAGAAATTCCGGTCCCAATTGCCATCGTAACTTGAGGACTACCTATATTGTAAAAAGTTTGTTTTAAAATATGATCCTGCTAAAGTCAATAAGCTAAGCAATATTCATATTTTACTAATTACTAGCAAATTAACCATTTTATCCCCTTGCATTCTAAAAGGCATGTTTGATCATAAATATTTTTCAACATATCTCAGTCTTATTTTAAAAGAGATGACACAGTGTTTAAAGAACATAAAATGAAATGCACCGTGATCTAGTTTTATAGCAATAAACAAACCTGTGCTTAAAAATCTTTTCATGTCATGTTACCTGTAGACATTAGGGACTTTAATTGTCTTCTGTAGGCAAGAAGAATATTAGAAATAATGTACATAGGAAGAGCGTCACAATGGATTCTTATTACCTACAAAACAAAGATGCTTTATGGAAAACTAGAACATGGAAAAATCGCTCCACCTTTTCCTTAGTACCTTACCTATACTACCTCAGTAATTCTTACAATTCTGTACAGATACAACAAAATTTCTTGCTTGAGGCCATCCTGAAAGTTCAATGGATAGACTAAGAGTTGCATCAAAGATTTCCAGCCCTAACCAATTCATTACACCAATTCTTAAAAATCTGTTGATTAGGGGAAAAAAGTTAGGAAGTGAACCTATTTTTTCTTTTATTTGTAGGAAAATCATATCTTCCAATGTCAATATTAAAGAATAGCAATACAGTGTGAGTTGTGGAAGCAGCAGGTGTATGTATGAAAACAATTCAGCATAAATATTAGTATTCAGAGTGTGGTTAAAGATTAGCAATTTGCAATCTAAACTTGGAATTGTTCAATTACCTTGTGACTCTTAGAGTCATGTGACCTGCCAAATGACCAGAATCTAATCTTCATTAAAAAAAAACAAAAACCATGGACTATGGTATATACCTAAAAAACATAGAATGTGACCAGTTGTGTGGAACAAGTTTAAATTAAGGTGAGCAGGATTTAAACAAAACTAACCTGGGAATTCTTGCCCTAATACACCAACAGAGAATATCAGTTATCATTTTGTTGCTGGCCCATCCTGTTCAGAACCAACTAATTGGAGCCTTTCAGTCTGTTTAGAATGTTAATATCTAGAATAATGTAGTGTCATCTGCAATACTGAATCTAAATAATTTACAGTAAATTTAAGCAGCAGCAATGACAATACTATTTCACAAGCCTGCTGAAACTTGTGATTTATCAGTTTACTGTTTACTTAGAACAAATCACATTGCTTTTATATATTTTATATATTTCATTTCAATATTTCCTGTAAATAAATAACAAATCTGTAATGAAACTATGGGATTCATAAATCTCATATTATAATATACCTAATGACCCTAGACATGCTAGCTTAGAATTCAATCTTACTCAATTTAGTGGGATTGTTTAATTAGACAATTGAATTGCTTAGACTTTTGAGTGTGCAAAAAATTTCACCTATGAAATAAGGGGCAACAGATGTTAATGTACCCAGTGACAAAGGTAGTACTACACATGCTCAGAAAATTTGCCTTCCTAGTGTACTTCCCTCCCACAGTAATCATAAATTTAAAGTCTATCTTCAAGCAGGCAGGTATGCATTACTGAATTTAATAGAAAATGATGGATTCTACAAATTTGCATTTGCTTGTTCATAATATAGAGAGAAGAAGCAGATATTATTATCTACCCTGCTGATTCTTTTTGTTGGAAAAAGATAGTATGTGCATACTCAAAAGGAGCTGGAGCCAGCAGTTATTGGCACTGTTTCCTCAATCAATCAATCAATCAATCAATCAATCAATCAATCAATCAGTTTGTTACAGCCCTAAGGCTGTAATAAATGTAAATAAATGTAAATAATGTTTTTCTGAATTATATATAAATAAAAAACCCAGAAAACTAATAAGTATAAAAGGATCTAAAAAATAATTAAGAACAGATATAATAAAGTAAAACAGGATAAAAATAGTATTATAAGAAATTCCAAACTTAATTAATGGTGCAGCATATTGTACAGATGGTAGCACAAAACTGGGAGATTTGAGAAAATATTCTTGAGTCCTTGCCTAAAATAAGTAACATTAAGTAGAAATCACACTCCCTGCCAGGAATTTTCTTCAAGATAGGATAAATGAAGGTCTGTCTAGAGTCCTTATATAGGGAGCAGCATAGTAGCATATGGCTTAGAGTTTCTATGGAGCCATCACCACATGGACATAACCGAAGATACACAGGAGTTCCCTTAAAACGTCTCAAAACGACTGCTGAGGCCAATGCATCCAGTCTGGCTAAAGTGAAGGCCTTACAAAATTTCAGAATTGTAATGGATGATAAATAAAAGGCTGGAGTGAACCCTTTTGGAAGAATATGATAAATGCTGGGGTGTGAGACCTTACTTAAATTTGTTTGGAGATCTATATCCCAAATTCATTGTTTGAGGGCACTTCTAGCATTATCAAAACCTAATGAGCACAAACTTTCCATAGAGAAGGCCAGTAAATGAATTTTAACTAGGGCTTTTTTAAGCCATGATGATTTTCTCAGGTAACACCCCACCCTCACAGTAACTAATCAAGTAAAATGTATCAAATTGTATTAAGTTACAAATCTTATTTCTCTTAATCTACTTAAACATAATTGTGTATAATCTGTTAAATAAAATCTTACCTGACCAAGGACCTGCAGAAAAGAGGTCTTGACAGTTACCTAGTTTAACACATACATCAAAGATTCTTTATTTAAAAACAAATTTATTTAAAAAAAAGTTTAAAAACTCTTACTAGAAAGATAAATAAGTGGCCATAATACACAGTATGCCTACTAGATTAGATTGTGCATCAACTCTAGTCCCTCCTAGATGAAGACTCCTTGGCCATAGTGATCCACATTTTCAGTGATCTCCATATATGGTTACTGAAATGAGTTACGGAAATATATGGTTACTTCTGAAGGGTGAATTTTATAGCTTCTCTCTTCTTATACAGCTTACAGTCTCTTTCCAAGCACAGACTGAAGTGCTGCTGTTAACATTAATCAGACACTCTTGGGGTCTTTTTTGCCTCTGGAAGTCAGATCTTCCAAAGACAGAGCTTCTCAGTTCAAACATCTCCCAAAGTGGCTTGTTACCTCATACCAACACTGATGCTTTTCACCATTAGGTTGGGACTATTTATCCCCCCCCCAACACACACACACAATCATCATCAGTACTAATGTTTTTCCTAGTCCAGAGAGTCACCTAGCACAGTTCATTATCTTGGTTTCATGGCTTCAGCTATGCCATTTATGGAGTGATAGATATACCTTATTCTTGCTACTTTCCCCATGTCATCACAACATCACAATTTCATCAGCTAGAGAGAAATGTAGATATCCTTTAAGGAATACAACACAGATAGTCCTTGGGTTACAACAGCAATTGGGACCAGGATTGCTGTCGCTAAGTGATGCAGTTGTAAAGTGTGATGTCACATGACTGCATCGCTTAGGAACAATCCTGGCAACCCTGATTGCCGTCGCAACCCCAAAACACACAGGTTAAGCAGGAAGTGCGTGAGTCCCAGGTAAGGAGCATGGGGGTACCAAGGGTGGGTGGGGGAAGCCCTGGGAGGCCTGGCAAAAGCTGGGCACAAATTGGTGGAAGCCAGGGAAGGGGGGTGCTGCAGCATGGTGCGAGCACAGTAAGGCCGGGGGGAGGGTGGATGGTGCAGTGCAGCCAAATGCAGAATTGCCGGGGGTGGATAGCGCAGTGCAAGTGCAGGAAGGCTGGGGGGACTTACCAGAGCAACTTGTGACCTTCCCTGCTGGCTTCCCCATTGATTTTGCTTGTGGGAAGCCAACAGGGAAGGTTGCAAATGACGATCACATGACTGCAGGACGCTGCAACTGTCATAAGTGCAAGCTGGTTGCCAAGCGCCCTTATCGCGATCACATGACGAGGGCACTGTGATGGCCAGAACCTGGAGGACCGGTCATAAGTAGCGCCATTTGCAACTTTGAGTACTACCTGTACATTTAAAATGAGCCCTTAACTCACAAATAAATTGAAGATGAAAGCAAAGATTATTTAACCTCAGTTGTTCAAAAGACCTTTGTTATCTTTGGGTACAATCCATAGAACTACTTTGTGACTGAGGCAACATACAAATTGATAAAATAAACAAACAAACAAACAATATAGGCTACCTTGTTCTGAAGAAAAACAGAAGGAATTGAACATTTTTATAGCTTTTACTTACTTCATACTGACAATCTGAAGATGAATACATTTTCAACAAAGGAACTGAAGTGTCATTTATAGGCTGTGCAATGTGCAGTTTTGCAGAAATCTCAGTCAAAGGACTCCTAAAGTAGTTAATTTTTAAAACTTAGTCTGCAGAGCAAGGCATCAAGTCTAAATAGAAATCAAACGTAAGGTAGACATATGTGCTACAGCTAGCAGGAAGCAGCAACAGGAAAGAGTAACACTCAGTTTAACAAGCATACACTAATGCTTTTTGTGCAAGTCCATCTATTTTATTTATTATATATTAATCAAATTTATATCCTACTGCAATCACAAAAGACTCTTGGCAGCCCACAAGAAATAAGTGAAAACAATAACAATACATTTTATAACAAAAAGCTCTAGATTAATGATTCAGAGTTTCATATTTTGACAAATGGCCCAGTATTTCCATACAACTGCAAAAGAAACTTGAAAAGAGGATCCAATCTAATTAAAAACGCTAATGAATCCTGGTTAATGTTAATCAGAAATAAAAGTTCAGACTAGGACTGAAACCAGCAAGTGGAAGATGGAAAGTATTTGGAAATGTGAGAGTTGAAAGGAGTGATATAGCCTCTTCCTAGACTGTCCTTTTTGGAATTATTCCATAAGAGGCATACAAATGGGAAGGATCATGAACTAGTAGGGAAATATTCACCATGATGTGTGTGTGTGTGTGTGTGTGTATCTGCATGTGCACATTTGGATATTTCCATGAGAATTCCCATTAAAAAAATGGCAGAAAATATCCAACATCATACCAATGTGCATATGTTTGTACACTGATGCACACACAGGCACACAAATATATTCATTAGGCTGTTTCCATGAGCATTCCAATGAAGGAAACCCAGAACTGATAAGAAATGCTTATTTCCTGCAGATATCAGAAACACATGTGACAACACTGGAGAATTCTTAGTCTCTCACTCCCTGTTGATCCAAAACATCTTCAGTCTTAAAACTCCACATTGTGTTCTAAAATAAATGTGACCCCCTTTATCTGCATATTGTCAAATTCTATCCGGCATCACAAATGAAAATCCCTTATCCCATGGTATTTTATTCATCTTTATTTAGGTCAAAGACCAGGATAAAAAACCAGAAATGATCAAACAAAAGCACCATAAAAATAAATTTTGATGACTTTCTATATACATGTATATCATATTCTAACATATTATTATTGTTGGTAACAAGGTCAGCTAGATGTTTCAACTGGATTTGGCATTTATTATTATTATTATGGTTGGTCACACAGTCAGATATTTAGATTGGATTTGGCATTTTTTATTCACCTATCAAGTCCTTCCCAAGGACCTGGGATAGGGAGATGTTGTTTGATGGCGTTAAAGGTATTGGTGCAGGATATAAGCTGTTCCAAATAAAGCTGCCTTTTGCAATTGACTGATGGTGATTTTGTCAATGCCGATGGTCTTCAAGTGGTGCTCCGGATGCTTTGGGACTGCACCCAAGGCGCCTATTACTATTGGTACTATCTTTGCTTTCTTTTGCTTCTATTTCTACTTCTATTTGCAGGTCTTTCTATCTTGTGATTTTCTCTAGTTCTTTCTCTTCTATTCTGTTGTCACCAGGTATTGCAATGTCCACTATCCAGACTTTTTTGTCTTTCTTACCAACAATTGTTGCTGCTGTTGTGCCTTCAAGTCAGTGTTGTCTTCTGGTGACTGCCTGCAGTTTTTTTTGGCAAGATTTCACAAGTGGCTTGCCATTGCCTGCTTCCTAGGGCTGAGAGAGAATGACTGGCCCAAGGTCACCCAGCTGGCTTCATGCCTAAGGCGGGACTAGAACTCACGGTCTCCTGGTTGAGTTCTCCTGATTTCTAGCCTGGCGCCTTAACCACTACACCACCAGGTGCCTGCTTCCTAGGGCTGAGAGAGAATGACTGGCCCAAGGTCACCCAGCTGGCTTCATGCCTAAGGCGGGACTAGAACTCACGGTCTCCTGGTTGAGTTCTCCTGATTTCTAGCCTGGCGCCTTAACCACTACACCACCAGGCTAAAAAGACTTAAACCTGAACTAAAAATAACCTAAAAACTAAGAATAAAAGCAAGGCATTGTTTAAAGCTAAGACTACAGTCAGGACCAGAAATATTGGAACAAGGATAACTGTTTTGGCATTTGGCCTCTGTACACCACCACATTGAAGTTGAAGGAAACACAC